AATAATAATAATAATAATAATAATAATAATGTAAAAAGGTCGTTCACCTAGAAAAGATTACCGGTTAGAAAAATTCTTTAAGGAGATATCCGAATATCTTGAATCTCTCGGAAATAATTTCTATTAGGCGAGGGTGAGGTTGAAAATAGAAAAGAAAAATTAAATTAAATAAAATTAAATTAAATAAAAAAAAGGAATTAAAGAAAATCATCAGATCCAAAACAACGAATCACCATCAACACTAACACCAGCATCTCCTCCTTCCTCCTCTTCCACCATCGCCACCTCTTTCACCTCTCTGTATATCGATATGGAAAATATCTTGTGATTTATGAGCCCTTGGCGTAACCACCGACTACACAGAACGTTCGTCATTCTGTCAATGAAATGGCTGCCCCGTGGCGATAGTCTTGTTTACGGAATTTTAAATTCCTATCCCCCATTCTTTTTGTTAAAAGGAAACAACCTGTAATGTATTAACCATAGTTAACCATTCAATTTTCTATAAATATTTCTATTCTTTGATTAACCAAATTACAAAAAATTTGAATCTTTTCTTTTTTTTTATTATTTTCGTTCGTTCGTTCTCTCTCCCCCTCCCTCTCTCTTTCTCTCTTTCTCTCTCTCTTTTTGTTTTTCAAGAATTCAAAAAAAAAAATCACGGATCGGTTTTTATTCGTTGACTCGAATTGGCAGTGTTAGGTAATAATAAACCATTCGAAATTGGACTATAGGGAATCTTTTTTTTATTATTTTTGTTGTCTCTCTCTTTCTGTTTTGATTTTCGCGAATTCAAAAAATCATACAATGCTTTTACTTGTTGGCAAAAAGTGGGGGTATCTGGTAATAATAAACCATTTGTAATTGGATTATATGAAAGAAGAGCATACTCATACATAAATACATACATATATTTATGTACATATACATTATTATTATTATTATAATTATTATTATTATCAATTTTGATCGAAATTTCATCGATAATAAATCCATCGATTTGCTGTATCTTCCGGAGCATGTGCCCGGATAAACGGCAGCGGCCAAACTACTTCGGGCAATTTTGGCTACCACTGCAGGATGAGCAGTCTGTTAGTGATAATCTACATGGGATATTGACTTGATCTAATTTTGGCCCGTTGGCAACGGACGGATGGACGTCGGTGTCACGTTCGATTATATCCACTGGCTCTCTCTCTCTCTCTTTCTCTCTCTCTCACTCTCGCACTTGGTTATCATCCGTGTCCAGCTTACAGGGAGCTACGAATGAACTAGTAATTAACACTATGAACCGCCTATCAACGGCAATATGCCATTGGCTCGTCTTCCTCGAGGTACAATAAGCGTATGCTTCTCTACATATTTCCTATCAAAGTTTCATGCCATCACTTTGAGATCTTCTCCTTTCCGCCTCTCCCCACCCCCAACTTCTTTCTGTCGATCGATTAAATTTCATTAAAAAAAAAAAAAAAAAAAAAAAAAAAAAAGAAATGGATACGCCACTTCCAAAATTAATAGCTCATATATAAATCAAAGAGCCATGCAGAGATTTGTTTGAAGACAAATTCAAGAAAGAGATTGCGTATCGAACGAAAAAAATAGCCCGACCCAGAACTATTCCCCTAACCTCACCCCAACAAATCCCGCACTCCATCCCTTGTCGGGTTTTATCGTTTCCACCGCATTCCATCCGTTCGAAGTGCGTTTAAATGGTCGTTCTGGTTAACTGCCAACATTGCGGGTATTACCACTTTACCACGCTCTATTTGTTTATCATCATCATCATCATCATCATCATCATCATCATCATCATCATCATCGTCGTCGTTGTCGTCGTCGTCATCGTCGTCGTCATCGACTAGCTATGATGAATCATCGCAAATGCGTATTACCTCTTGTTTAATCACAGAGCATCGAAATGCTCTCAATCTTCCTCTCGAAACTGTTAACATAATTCGTCTCCCTCTCTCTCTTTCTCTTTCCTTTCCTATATCTATCCGTCTATCTCTGTCTTTTTCTATCGCGTAATTAAGGGTTGATTATGATGAATGAAAAAAGAAAAATAGAAGACGAAAAAATATATGTCTTTAACTTACATTTTTAATATTATTAAATATTATTTATTTTACATTTATAACAAGTAATAAATATATTAAAACTATATAAATTAGAGAGAGAAAGAGAGAGAGAGACAAATCGAGTTTAAAAACTATAAACATGGAAATTGAATTGTACTTAGAAAAAAAAAGAAAAAGAAAGAAAAAAAACGAAAAAATAAATCCTGTCGGTATCTCCCCGGAGTAATCACGAGTCCCTACATCAAAGTCTGCTTACGATAGTATATGTAAATCAAAACAAGAGCGAGAGCAAAAGAGAGAAAGAGAGAGAGAAAAGGAGAGTGAGATGAAAGAAGAAAAAAAAGTAGACGAGGACGAAAAAGAAGAAACAAAATTTTTTAACTTTTTCGAATGTGTTCGTTTGAGGGGAGTAACCCTTACGCATTGAGAAATCTTAAAAGAAAGATAAATGATAAGTTCGAAAAGGAATTCAAAGTTGCGCCAGAAAACTAAATATGTCTCTGGAGTTTATCTTTGATCAACATCGTCATCGCAAAAGAAAAGAAAGATAGAGAGGGATAGATAGATAGAATACATAGATAGATAAAGAGAGAGAGAGAGAGAAAGATAGAGAGGGAGACACGTGCGAGAGGACACGAGAAAAACTCGAAGGTCGAATTTCTCCTCGAGAGGATTCGTACCCTGTGATCTTCTTATTCTAACTTTTTTCCTCACCTTTATTTATTTTTTTTTTATTATTATTATTTTTCCTTCTACTTTTTTTTCTTTCTTTATTTCTTCTGTCTGTCTCTCTCTCTCTCTCTCTCTCTCTCTCTCTCTCTCTCTCTCTCTCTCTCTCCTTCCTCTTTCATACACTTTAACTCCCTAGCTCGGTCGTTCTTTCTATTTTAATATGCAAACTCGAAAGTTAATGTACGCCGTCTCTGTTTATGCACTTCTTTCGAGAACATTCCGCACGCATCTGTTCTTTTTCCGCCTCAAATCCCGCGGCATCATTTTCTTTTTCTATCCTTTACTCTTCTTTCTCAGAGAAGGACAAGTAACTAAACAACTAAACAAGCAAGCAAGCAAGCAAGCAAATAATTAATAGGAGCATGATCAGATGTAAACAAAGGAATATTATTGCTTATCCCGAGACTGTAATACACGATGAATTGAAAGAAAAAAAAAAATAAGAAAAAGAAGGAAAACAAAAAAGAACGAAGATAAATAGAACACAAGTCGATGAAGAACGATCATGGATTTAAAAAATCATATAAAAGCAGAAAGATTATTTTTCTTATTTCGAGGGAGAGAGATGGATTGATCTAACGAAGATAGGATGGATGGTTCGAGCTTTAATAGGATCCGAATGGGGCCTTCGTGTTCGCGCGGGAAATCCGAATTTATGAACCTCTGTGAAGGATTTAATTTATTTAAATCTCCCGCCACGCTAAGCTTCGTTTTAATCCTGATTTACCACATGGCTTTTCTTGTTATGCTCGCGCTCGCGGTTCGGTTTTTGGTCGGCTGTTATCGCTTCGAGTACACGCACACAAACGTGTGTTATAATATAACACACACACGGTAGAGAGTGTGTAGTAACCGACATTCGTATAAAAAATGAAATTCCCAATTCGAAAACTCGAACGGAATAATTATTCGTCGAATTAACTCTGCGCGAAAGATATCGAATGAAATTCTGCTATAAAGAGAGAGATAGAGAGAGATTTTAATTACGAAATATTGGGTCTCCTTGTTACACGATATTTTTTTTCTACTTTTTTCTTCTCTCTTTTTTTTTTTTTGCACACGATTTACAGTCACACGGTTTTCTTAACGCATCATACTTAATTTTACACGGTTGCAAAAACCATGCGCATCAATTAATTCGCATAAAATGTCATGGAAGTTTTGAGTATTCGAAAAAAAAAAAAGGAAAAAAAAAAGAGAGAGAAAATAAGAAAAAAGAGATTCATTTTTCTCAATGTTATTATATTAATTTTTTTTTCACAAGTCTATTAGAAATAAAATGTTCTTAATTAAAATGCATTTCTCTATATTTTCAATTGCTTTCTTCATTTTTATTTCTTTTTTTTTTTCCTTGCGTATCAATTTTAGCGGAGAATTTTTTTTCTTCTCCTTTCGATAAAATAGAAAAGAAAACTGAAAAAAGAAATTTTATCCGAAGATGAAATCAATCGATCTAACTATCCATCTATTCATTTTATTTTATCTATTCTATCTATCGAATTCGATCCACTTGACGTCGGTTGACAGTAGATCGTTTTTTAAGATTAGTAAAAGTATCGATTTTCGATGTAGGAATTGGTAGTGTATCGAGGGTGAAGAAAGGGAGTGGGAGGGGAGGGGGGTTAGGAAAAAAGGCCAAGAAAACCGTTCGATTTATTAAATTCGATCTTTAAATGAGCTACGACGAGAGAAGTTTACTAGTTTTCGCGTTGAGTTAAGTAATTGGAAGGTCCAGAGGCCGCGGTGATTTATCACTCGATCCTTGACACGTGCGAGTCGAACGAGCAAGCGAGAAATACGAAAGGTTAGAGAGTACAGAAGAGAAGGAGAAGAAGAAAGAGAAGGAGGAGCGCTCCTCAAAGCCCAGAGATTGTTCTCCCTCGCTGACCAATGATCGATCGATTCAATAGATGTACCAGGCAGCCCTCACTGACTCGACTAAAGCCAGTGATTAAGTGATTTTCCTAGTGAAAGAATGAAAGAAAGAGAAATAGAAAGAATGAGAGAAAGTGTCAAAGGGAGAGAAAAAGATGAATCTTAGAGGAAAGTTCTCTTGCTCTTTCTGTGTATCTACCTATCTATCTATATATTTATATATATATATATCATTCTCTTTCTAACACACTGTTCATTTTCTATAGAGTTCGAAGACGATAAACCGTTTCCTTTCGTTGGTACTTCTTATTTCAGGTCAAATCGATATAAAGAAATTGCGAAGGGAGAACGAGCAGCTGCGAAGAGAGATATGGAGCCTACGGGACGAGTACGATAAGCTCGAGGAGATACTAAAAAGACAAAAGAATCAACCTGAAAGCGACGAATCCGAGGTAAGTTTTCTTTTATTTCCTTTTTTCTTCTTCTTCTTCGTTTCTCCATTACATTTACATAAAAAAAAAAAAAGGGCGATCGAGTTAGTCTCGTATAATTATTCTAATTGAGAAAAAAGAAAAAAGAAAAAAAAATATAATAATAATAATAATAATAATAATAATAATAAAATGAATGGGATTTCAGGATCGCTCAGAGGAGGATGACGAGGAGGAACTGCATTCGGATTATTCAGACGAGAACGTGCACGAGGAGGAACCCGTGGGAGCCAGTGATGATAAAGATAGGAGAACGCGTTTACGGGATCGCGAGGAACAATTAGAGAATGCGGAGAATCAAAAGATATCGACGGAAAAGATGAACGGTAACAATAATAACTTGTTGCACCGTTTGCACGTTGATTTCGACGATCTATCGGTGGTAGACGAGGAAGAGGAATTGAAAAAGGATAAGGATAAAAAGTTTGATAATGTCATTACAACGAACGAAGAAGGAAATCAAAGGAAATCGAACGTAAGATTATTCGAAACAATTAGAAAATTACACGACAATATACCATTTTATCCGGGTACATACGAATCCTGTCAAGGTTATACAGAACCAAATTATTTCTCGGATTGTCCATTGTTCGAGTGTCCCAATACGATAGTCGATCAATCGATACCTGGTAATAACGTACCGACGGTTATACCTTTCCCCTGTCCAAACCTATATGCGGATCCATTGATACCCCTTAGCAATATGGATTCACCATTATTAAATCCAATGAACGATAATAATCATCTATCGGATATCCACGTTGTACCGCCTATCGGTTGGCAAAACAATATGTTAGTTTCGGAAACGAAGCAATTGTCAAGTTATACGAACGTATTGTCTACCGGTATATCGAATGCGACTATGGGAATCTCCGATTTCGAAAGAACGTCGCAAATGGTTACTACCAATAATACTCAAATTATCGGTAACAATTCGAATCTAACGATAGATGAAAGTCATTTCGATTCTACGGAAATTCAAGGTAAACAACAATTTTCTAAAGGATTGTTCGAGGATTCGTCGTTGGCCAACGACGTATGGGATGACGTTGACTTACGATCGATTCAACAAAATAATCTGAAAGATAATGAAAGAAAAATAATCGGCGATTGTAATATCGAGAACGAGGAGAAAGATTCCGACGAGCCGTACTCGTACGGTGGTACTACTGCGGAAAAGCGAAAACATTTTTTCGCTCCGTTGGCAACGTTGAAATCGAAGAAATTACTAGACGAGGATTCACCAAATATCACTGGTAATAATTACTTTGGTACTGGTAACAGTTCTAGTAGCGGTAAAACAGTATCCACGGTTATATGCGGTGGTAACAATAATCAATTGTTAGGAAACCATAAGGGTTCCGTTGATGTTTGCGTGAACGGTGCTGTCTCCTATGGGAATAATTTCGTTCAAACGAACAAGGACGACATACAGAGAACGTATCTCAGTACGGAGAATCTCTCAATTATCAAATCTATACCGATCAATAATCAATTGATCAAATCTATGTCGTGTCAGGATTTAACAAGCGACAATCAAAATATGATGACAAAGCTCAACAATAATAACGATATAGGACAGATGACGATAATGACCAAGAGCGACAATACCTTGGACAATTTTAACATCGACAATTCGACGACTAAGGCATACAAATCGCATTTAAACGTGACGTTAAAGATACCACGTAAGGAACGTGATAACAACGTTAATACACCGGAGATCCCAAAGTTACCTACCTTGGATTATAGAATTCTAACGAATCCATTTCTACGTAATATCGAACGAATCGGTTTCGAGTGTCCCGAACGAGATTCTCCATTGACAAAACCACTTACCGTTCAAGTAAATGAAAATAACATGAATTACAATTATCCAAGTTCGCCGTTGTCGTCGTTACCGCTACCTCCGCCACCGCCTCCTTTGCCACCGCCGCCACTGCCACCGTCAACGAGTTTTGTTGCTCGAGGACTTCGACCTCCTAGCGAAAGATATCGTAGAAGGCAGGATAACATTGTGACGACCGATCAGAATCGTTTGTTGATTCCTACCGACCAATTGATCTCTAAAAAAAATCTATCCCCGTCGACGCAGGACTTTCAAGTTACGTCCTTCGAAAGGCCGAGCCCTCATACCCTCTTACCATCGGCTATGCCGTACGATCTTGAAACCATACGTAGAATAAACGCGACGCGTTATCTGCAGAATCAAAATCAGAATCTTTATCAGAACGTACCGTTTGTACCGTCCGGACCGACCGGTCACGTTTGTCACAACATTAGAATGTATTACGATCAGATTAAGAACAAGGTACAAGCGCAAACGCAAACCTCAATCGATGGTGACTCTCATATAGAGGACGAACAGATTGTTCGATGTTCGCGTCAGGATGATGATAACGTAAGTCTGCCAAATACACCGAGTGTGATTAGACGAAAACGCGCGATAAAGAAGGAAAAATTTGTAATTAAACAATCGATATCGCCGCACGCTCAAAGGAAATTGAAAAAGCAGAGCAGCGTTACGTCGACGGAAACTACCCCGGATTCACCTGACAAATCGGTTAGATGTCATAGACCAAGGAAACTCAGCGTTACCACTACGACGACGTCCGATGCCCTCGAGGATAAGAACGAGAGTAGATCCTCATCGTCGGGACAAGATTCACCGAGGAAGGATCAAATTAGACGGGTCTCGTCTTATTTCAATCCTAAGAAACGACCATCCGTAACGTCGATCAAAACAACCAGAAGCGCCAGCTTGGAAACTACTAGCAAGGAAAAATATTCCGAGGGTTTGATAACGGCTAATTCTGATAAGGAAATGTTTAATACCGGAAATATCAGGGACAGTCTCGTTAAATCGAGAAAAGGTAGTACCAGCAGTGGAAACGTACCCTGGTGTGCCTGTTGGGGTAATGGTTGCATTTGATTTCAATTTATTCGGGCTATGTATGTACGTTTATTTTTCCTTATCGTTCATTTTCTTTTCGTCGTCGTCGTCGTCGTCGTCGTCGTCGTCGTCGTTGTTGTTGTTTTTGTTTTCGTTTATGTTGTTGTCGCTGTCGTTAGAATAAAATTCGAGATATATCTTAAAGAGATCATTGACATTGTAATTCCATTGTTAGAGTTTAAGGAAACGCAAAGGAAGTTTTTGAATTCGAACGGCGTCATGAATACCATTTTAAAAATAGTTAGAAAGGGTTTGCCGTTAGACATATATACAAATGAAAACATGGAAAATCATTCGACATTCAAATATACGAGAGGCGGCTTCGGTTACGACACCGAAATGGGACCACGATAAATTCAACAACGACGAGAGTAAACTAACCTCAACTAACCTCAACTAACCTCAACGTCACTTTACAAAGTAACTTTTCTAAGTATAGGTTATATTCAATGCGCACGTATATATTACGTACGTATGTATGTACGTACATATTTCACCTAACGTGAAATTGTGAATAAAGTGTATCATAAAATCAACACCGCACTTGGATATTAACCATAAAACTAATCTCGAATCTGTGACTCGTTCGCGTTCGAAGTGAATTGCAAACGCGTGTGCGTTTCTGTGTGTGTACGTGTGCGTTTGTCGAAACTTCCAAACAAGTATTACCGTGAAAATACGAACGAGAGTTTTGGAAATAAGGATCAAAGACCTTGTTGAAGAGTGTGAAAATGTGAAAAAAAAGTTTTCATGAGATTCTGCTCTTTATATTTCACAATTTACCATATATAAAATCTAATATTATTTTATAGCCGTAAATGCGTAAGTGATATACAGTATGTATGTATGTAGGTACACGTATATATGTACTGGTACGTCATAACGTAGAATTTAATATTTGTTCTCCCTGGAGAAAAAAAAATATTCTATGCATTTATGTTACTGATAATTTTAATGAACGTTATAGAGTAATCAAATAGGATAAAAAAAAAATTATTTTTATGTTAGAATTAATAACCTTCTCATTTTATACTTTGGGAACATTTGATCGTGCAAGTAAATACGTGTAAAGATATCCAAAAATTGTATTCATTCATTTATTCGAGTTCCATTGATCAATTTAATTCCCTTTCACTTTGTTCGCTTTAATGCTCTACAAATACGAATACGAATACGAATACTGATACGAATACGATACGATCGAACGATCGATCATCAATAAATCAAAGTTATCTCCCAGTAGAAGTTGGATTTTGGTGGAAGAGGATTATGTCCTTCTATAATCCAGATCATCGATAATTTGTTTCATCACTATGGACCAGGGTAAGATCGATCTCGGCGTACCGAAATTTATTAATGTTCACCGACGTGAACGAGAGGAGTACTTTATGCCCGAGGAAAAGTTACCGTAGGAACATCCGGCTTGAAAACTTCGAGAGAGTACCGTTAAAACTTCCTTCTCCCTAAAGTTTCACTGCGGAAGTTTTCGTTTCCGCTTCATTATGAGTATACGAAGAAGAATGGTAGGGACTTGAAATTAATAAAAGAAAAACAAAACAAAACAAAACGAGACAAAACGGTAGGAAACAAAAAAAAATAATAAAAAGAAAAATAAAAAGAAATACAATAAATAAGGGGAAAATAAAACAAAACAAAAAAAAACAATTACTTTATCCATTTCACGTTACTTTCGTAATCCATTTTAACACCTCTTGTTTTAACATCTTTGTTAATATAATCATCAGGATAAACTTATGGATAATTTAATGGGTAATTCGCCGTGAGATTATTTTGAAGATAATTATGGTTATCAGATTTGATAGTAAAAAAAATAAAAAAAATAAAAGAAAAAAAACAGAAAATTCACCGTTGAAATATCAACCAGAAGCCACGTTACGTTTTAAATCAGATTTAAGAAAAGAAGAAGGAAAAAAATGCAAAATAAGAAAAACAAAGAGAGAAATAGAGATGAATACTTCGTTAACAGTTTCGTTCGCAATTATCGTAACTATCGTTTTTTAAATAAATTTCTCGCCAACCTCCAGTTCTCACTCCCAACCTCAACCCTCGCTCCTTCCCTCCTCTGTCCCTTTCTATGACTCCGAAAGAATTCACAAAATTTATGCATCGCGTAATAACGGGCCATGAACGTAAAATAAGATTCGGGTGAGTAAAATTCATAAAGATCCTTTATGAAAATTTTTCACCGTCTACCTGACCACCCCCCAAATGTTCCCAACTACCCAAACTCTCCCCGTTCCCTTCTTCCTCACCACCATCGTTATTCTTCATCTGGTTAACACCGAGTCGACTAGTAAAAGATTTGTGTACCCTGTAGGAGCCCGTGGAGAGAAAGAAAAAATAAATGGAATAAAAAACGAGAGATAAAAAAAAAAGAAGAATTAAAGAAAAAAAAATGATCGATGAGACGAGGCTATCCGTAAGGTGGTTACTAAGTAAATTTTGTCAAGTGAACGTGTTAGACGTACCAACGACGTGTTAGATGAAATTGAGTCAGGAGAGATGGTTCGGCTTTAAAGTGCCATTATCGGAATCGTTGTAAATTAAATTACGATCGATAGAAGTCAAGAGTAGATGTAGAAGAAGAACGAACGAACGAACGAACGAACTAACAAACGAACGAAGGAACGACAAAGAAGAGGAAGAGAGAGAAATAGACCAAAGGATTGGATAGAAGAGAAGAGAATAGGAGAGAAGAGGAGAGGAATGTTGGAGAAGATTTGAGCAGAGTTAGTAAAATTCTCTTTAATTCTCTCTCTCTTTCTCTCTCACACATATACAGACATGATACAGAAAGAGAGAGAGAGAGAGAGAGAGAGAGAGAGAAGTGAGTAGTATGACTTTCAATTTTAATGGGAACATTATTTTTGCAAGAAGAGAAGGGTAAGCACAATGCGCGCCAACTCGTTTTAGTGTCAACGTGGAAGACGAGAAGGGAGTGTGAAAGGGTAGGAAGGAGAAGGAGGATGGAAAAGGGTGGCCAGGTCGCTTTCTCTCTCTCTCTCTCTCTCTCTCTCTCTCTCTCTCTCTCTCTCTCTGTCTCTCTTCGAAGAGAGTAGAGGCTCGGATAGTGCAATTAAAATGCAAATTATCCCTTTCGCGGAGGACTCGTCCTTGCAACCCTACAACCCCCTGCTTCCTCTTCTCCTCCCCACTCCCATCTACCGCTATCCCACCCCATTCCTCCTCACTCCCACCACGCAATGTTAACGCCGTAACCGATTAACTGGGAACTAATTTACGAGACTACGTCGAGCCGAGTGAAAATGAGACCGAACGAGAGAGCAAGAGAAACAGGGAGGGAGGGGGAGAGAGAGAGAGAGAGAGAGACGAATAGAGAAAATGACGTTTTGTCTGTCTCTTCAGGGAAATTCGAAGCGAAGGTTAATTCTGTTTCCACGACATCTTCTTCCTTGAGATTGAGCGCAAGCATTAACTTATTTCCAACGGCTATGTTTCCAACCAATCACATTCTTCGATAATTTATCTTTTCAATGAAATTAATTCCTCATTTTTTACTTAATCGATCGTACACGCTGACAATGTTGTTAATTGTATTTTTATTATATGTTTCTTTTCTTCTTTCTTTTTAACTTTCCTTTGTTTTCAATGTTTTTCTTTTTTGTGTTTGTGTTTTTGTTCGAGCTTTTATCAGTCAAGCGTTACGATAGAATTTCGTTTTGTCCTTTTTCTTCTTGCTCTTCTGTTTTTTTCTCTTTTTTTTTTCTCTTTTCTTTTTTCTTCTTTCAATTCTCTTTTTCTTTTTTATTGTATTTTTGTTTCTTTTTGATTTATTTCTTCTTCTTCTTCTTCTTCTTCTTCACGAATTTGTTCGAATAAATCCATCCGTTCGAAACTCCGCAGAGGGAATAGTAACCAAACATACTATTTATATACGTTCTGATGAATTTTTTTTTTCTTTTTTCCCCCTTTCCCTTCGTTTTCGTTTCTCCTCCTTTCCTTTTTCCATATGAATGTTTCGGGTTAGAAGAGATCTAATGTCTTTTGAACGTTTCAAGTAAGGGAATGAACGATCGGCGAACTTTCGAAACACAGAAAGTAAATAGTTTTCCTTGAGTAAAACGAAGTCGGTCGTTTGTACATGGTAACATTTCTTCTTCCGCGTACAGTGCACAGCATGTATATACATACATATATACCTTAAGGAAATTTTCCACGATCTACTTCCGAAGTTTGGTGAATTTTACGAATCCCGTCATCCCAGTGTCCTGCTGCTTGCTCTCCCTGTGTTCTCTATTCTCGTCGTTACTTTTATATTATGTACTTTAGGAGCAATTCATTATTTATTCACTTTTGGCTTTAACATTGCGCGCACATAGCGCCCATCGTTGACGTTAACCTTTCGAGGAATATAAAAAAAAAAAAAAAAAAAAAAAAAGAAAGAAAAGAAAAGAAAAGAATTTCCCTTAGAAAATTTTATTTCGCGTTCTACCGGTTTGAAATAGTATTCTTTAAAAAGAATAAAGTATATATATGATCGACAAAAGTACACTTTAACAAAGTCGAAGTCTAACCTTAACACGGTTTCTAAGGTTTCCATCTCATCATCGAAAGAAATTTTTATATATCCAAAGGGAGACGGTATACCTCCTGGTAAAAGAAAAAAAGAAACAAAAAGAAACAAAAAGAAAGAAAAAGAAAACAGAAGACGCAATTTCCTCGAATGACGTCGATACCCCACGCGCGGCACTGCAATTTGATCGCAAGAAACATTTCGCTTGCAAGAGAAGCTTTCAGCGTTCTCATTCGTGATGCTAGACGGACGGCTTCAAATTTCTTACAATACCTATACAAAGAGAGAGAAAGAGAGAAAAAACCGGGAGGAGTTGGAGAAGGAGCCGATGAAAGCTGGAGTGTGGAAAAGAAAGCTTGACGCGAACCCAAGAGAAAAGATCAGGGAGGAAAATAAATAGAAAAAGAAAAAAAGAGGAAGTAAAAAAGCAAGAAAGAAAAAAAGAAAAGTAAGAAAAAAGGTAAAAAAAAAAAAAACAAACAAACAAAGAAAGAAATGAAAGAAAGAAAAGATCGAGTAGCAGCAGGGCATCAGGAAGTTTCGAATTCAAGAATCCATTCGAACGAGTAAAACAACTCCGGGTATCTCGACTTTCGATCGGAATGTTTCAGTTTTCCATCAAGTATTAAAGAAAGGAAAAGAAAAAAAAGAAATAAATAAAGAAAAAACAAGGAATGTCAAAAAAGAAAATAAGAAAAAAAAAAAAAAAAAGAAAACAAGGCGCGGAATTAATCGAGAAAATTCTGTTACGATGCTACAACAGCGTAAAATAAATTTACTCGATCGTTGAATGCGCTAGCAATTACGTTTTTATCGGCTACCTACCACCCCCCTCCCCCCACCCTTACACCCTCTACTCTCTTATCTTTTCTCATTGCCCCTAAAACATTTTCTCCCGACGTTTTACAATACGAGTGGAATAAAAAAAATATATATATATATATATATATTTGCGAGCCGGCCGTTCTTCGAAACTAACCATTATCCCCGTTTTATGCGGGGACTGTAAAAAAAAAAAAAAGGAAGAAAAGAAAATACGAATGAAAATTAAAGAACGGATATAGCGTGTTCGAGCGATGATGCGACGCGAAGTAGGAGAGGGAAAGGGAAATAGAACAAATAACGAAGGACAGTTGATTCGTGGTTACAATTGGAATTTAAATAATCCGAAATTTATCGTTAATACTATTTTAAGATTGGATAAATTATTGAGATCCCACTTACCCCCCATATCGTTCGACTGATTATCCCAAGGAATGAGAGGGAGGGGGTGGGGGGTGGACTCGTGCCATTCCTCGGTTCGGATCGGTTGCTCGATTCAATTATGAACCATTCGCGTGCTTTATGCAAATATCACGAGTCAGATGAGAATCCTGGGATGAGAGGGTGGAGGTTAGGGTTACAGAAGTGGAGGTTAGGGTTACAGGGGTGGAGGTTAGGGTAAATGGGGAAGGGGTTAGCGGCATTCTTCGTGCCGACAGCTAATAAGCTTCGCGTTTTCGTCCCAAGTTATGAAATTAATGTCGATGAAGAGCATTATTGTTCTCCTCCGCCCCACCCCGTAATGGTTATGGCGGTGGTTACGGCGATTTGCGATGGCGTAGGCAATGGCATAAGCGATGACGATGTGCGCGCAGTTAGAACGGTGGTGTGGTCAAAGGAACACGACATTTCGTGGGGTTTGCGAACGTGATTACGGTGAATATTCCGCGCGTTAATTCCGTGTTTCGAAAATACCTGGGAGTTAGGAACGTCGATATTCGCCGAGAGAAATTCCAAATAATTTAACCTCTCCGTTTGTTTAATCCCTATTTAGAAATGCAAATTATTGTCGTATATATGCGATAAATTGTTAATTCTGTAAATGAAACATTAGATTAATTCTATTAATACTGCTGCGTTTACACGACACATTTTTTTCTTTCTTTTAACAATCCACCATATCCTTCGTTCCATTCCTGTAACAACACTCCGTATTGCCCATGGGAATGATTTTAACGGTTTTGATCCTCGGTGCATGCACGTACGATACTGTTGATCGATTCGAATATCCAACGAATTTAACTATATGCGAAGAATTGAATTTTACGAGACCATAAATTGATTGAAAGAAACAGTGATACAAAACAAACCTCTCTCTAAACTCTATATAAACTCTCTAGGTCTTCTCACGCACATTGATATTATTCTTACATTTCTTTTTAAAAAAGTTTAGAAAAGCGTATCTGTCCTTCGATCGTAAACGTTTTGTTCTATTTAGCATAGAACAACAATAACCTCACCGTAGATTTATGCATTCGATAGAATAACCAGAAAGATTTCGTCAGAGATCGGAATTGCAACAGCTGCTTCACGTACCTTCCATTTCTGGGTTGAGTCTGGCTAGCTTAGTCGAAAGATGGCAAGCGTCACGTGCGAGCTAACCGGCTAAATGGATCGCACGTGCAGTTCCAATAACAAGACTTTCAGTCACTATCTCTATCTCTCTCCCTCTCTCTCTCTTGGCAGGTAGTTACGTACATTTCAATCAAATCAATCACCTGACGTTGATCACGACCTGTACCATACGTAGAGTAATAGAATTGTAAAAACATAAAACGTTAATTCAAAATTCTAAAAATATATATATATAAATTTTGTCAATTTTGTCAACTTTTCATTATCGTTTAAAAAAGCATTTTAATTAAATCTCTTCTAACCTTAATACACAATCTTATCTTAAATAAACATTCAAAATTCTCTCGCTTTGTTTCCTAACACAGAATTATTATCTCAAATGTATAATACTGATGAATAAATGTGTCAACCGGAAATCCTCGAATAGAAACTAGAAAAAGACTATTTTTCATAATAATAACGAATCAAAATATGTTAGTTCGAATAATCGAAGAATAAAATCGACGACCAAGAACGAAAGCAAGAAAAACCGGTTGTGACAGTTTCTCTGAACAAGGATCAACCTCAAAGATTAAGTTATCTTAAGATCTTGTGGTGAGGTTAGCGACGAAACTTAAAGAAAAAAGAAAAAATGAAAAGAGTGAAAATATCTCACGTAACGACAATGACAATTTGTAATCATTAAATCGAACGGAGCACGATCCAATTTTCAAGATCCTTACAAATATCGAAAGAAACGTATATAATAATTTTTATTGTCGACGACATTTTTCTTTATTATTATCGCGAAAACGAATGGAATGAATAAACGTATACGTACGTATACGTACGTACGAGAAACGAACGAACATCTTTGAGAAAATATTCTCTGTGGTTACTTTCAATTACATTAGTTTTCTATCCTTTACGTGCATACATATACATATAAATGCACACGTACATAGTACTTACATATATATACATATAATTCGTTATCTGAATGATCAGTAGTATATCTTGTAGAGTGACACGTAAACGCAAATAAAATATCTAATCCTTCGAACGACACTATTTCTTCTCTCCCTCTCTTTTATTTTTCTTTTTATTTATTTCTTTATCTCTTTTTATTTTTGCTACCCAAGTATCAACCTGCGACTGAGTTGCAGCACTTCGCCTAATTGCGCCAAGATAAATGCGATCGCGCCATTGGAACGCGTCGATACGTGTTTTATTGCACTAGGAGACCCACGGGGCACGCGTCGAACGTATCGTAGAAACGTCTCATCTATCGTTTCTCTCTCTCTCTCTCTCTCTCTCTCTCTCTCTCTCTCTCTATCTATCTATCTATCTATCTATCTCTCTGACCCCCACTCCAACCAACCTCAACCCATCCCCATACCATCCTATCCCCCACTTACATACCTTGCAGCTAAAGCTCTCTTCTCGTAGGCCAATCGATTGCTCTCAACGAATCCGGTTCTCTCACGAGAACCTCAGAAGAGGTTAAACCGTCGATACCTCGACTTTCATCGATTACTACCTTCCTTATCATCCTTCTATTTTTTCTTTCTTTCTGTCTCTCTCCCTCTCTCTCTCTCTCTCTCTCTCTCTCTCTCTCTCTCTCTCTCTCTCTCTCTCTTTCTATCTCAATCGATGGATAATTACGGTTACAAATATAAATGAGGAAAGATTTTTCTTCTATCAAAATGGAATTTTTTTTTATAAAGATCGAGATGTATTCTCTTTTCTCTTCCTTTGTTTGTTTGCTTATCATTATTTTTTCTTCTTTCGAACGTGAGCTTATCGTCGAACGAACGGTTCACGATAGATATCGTAACCTTAAGTTAAATGATTAATATGCAATGGACGGACGTGAACGCGTAGCGGCAATCGCTAATTTTTTGGTATCATCAAAAAAAAGAAAGAAAGAAAGAAAGAAAATAGTACACGGGTCTAGTTAAAGGGAGGATTTTCGTTTTAAACGAAAACGCATGACGGTCCTCTTCTCTCGCGGAAACTAATTCGGGTCTCGTCGCACGCACGAATTTATTCAAGAACGGACGTTATACGAAGTACGAGGAGGAATGACGAGCGCGTAACGACAAATACACACACATGTACGTGTATACATACACATAACATTTACATCTACCGACATAGGTAATACGTACACGTCTATATAGAGAAAACACCGACGCGATTAATTTAATTCGACGTTTCGCGAATGCGGCCCACTCGGCTTCGCAATTTAATTACCGCGACGCAATAACTCGCCGTGGCACTCGTCCGCGAGATATTCATTCGGTATGGCCTATTCCATTTGTTGTCTATCCTACCATAAAGTCCACCTTTCCATTCACGTCTCCGTTCGTGGGACAAAGGAGAAAAAGAAAAAAAAAAAAGAAAAAAAAAGAAAAAGAGAAAAAAGATATACGAAAGAAAGAGAAGAAAAAAATGAAAGCTAAAAGTAAAAGTTGATATAGGATACAAGATTGATTACATTGAAATTAATCTTTTTACATGTACGCGTTTATATTTATGTAGTTTTGATCTAGATCTCTATGTACGTGTG